TCCAATCAGTATAATCAAACACAGCTGGACTCAAATGAAGGTGTAGAACCATCTCAGGGATGATCAGAAGAAATGGACAGCACCTAAGTTGCTTCTACTAAATACTGAGCAAAGGGTCTGAATACTTATGACCATGTGATATTTCAGTTTTTCTTTTTTAATAAATCTGCAAAAATGTCAAACATTCTGTGTTTTTCTGTCAATATGGGGTGCTGTGTGTACATTAATGAGGAAAATAATGAGCTTAAATGATTTTAGCATATGGCTGCAATATAACAAAGAGTGAAAATTTAAGGGGGTCTGAATACTTTCCGTACCCACTGTATACACTGGAAACCAAATGCACAGACTTATCTGTAGATTTATGTTGCAAATAAATCTGTATGAACGATAGAAAAATCTTATGCTAATGGAATTGTAAAATTCCATATGGATGATGCATACCTCAGAGATTGCAGTGCTGTGTATTTGCACTCCTACAGAGTTTTTCAACTTGAATGACTCAAAGTACAGCAAACAAATACTTTACACTGGCGCAGCTCTTGTCCAAACTGCTTTGCAAGGTTAAAGTGGAATTACTGCCTAAAAACTGACTTAGTGTCCTTCACAATGGAGGCAACAGAGAACAAAAACTGGCCATGAGCATACAACATTAGTTACACTGAGTGTTGGGACAACTGGAATTATATGCTTTCATGGGGCCCAAAAAAGTGAGCACAGACTTCAGTGGGTGTGGGTTCCTAATAGTGCCTGTTGTTCATGGAAGAACACAACTGTAAAAATATATACAAACTCATAAAATAACTGTGATAAATAAAAGCTGATCAAGGAACATAACTTCCAAATGTTTCATTTGCCATTTCTTTAAAATAAAACAGTATTTTCAATGTTTGTGGGGACCATCTATCATACCACTTTCTCCTGGTTGTCTGAGGTCGTCAAACTCCATTCTATATCAAGTGGTCCACTGTCTTCAGCTGCCAGAGTAAACTGGCAGTCCAGCTTGACAGTCTGCCCACTGGCCATCTCTATGGACGTCGACCCTGTAGATGTAATAACCAGACCTGAGGCCAAACCTGCACACGGACACACAAAGGGAAGAAATTTATGTCAACACTGCAACGTGCATCATAATAAACAGGTTTCCTGGAGTATTCATCAAATTAAATTTAAGAGTTTTTAAGCACTGTTTCATACTGTATAGAACTGAAATGATGACCTATTTCACAGCCATACCTATCAAAGAAATACGGAAACCCAGGAGGGACAATATAATAATTTGATGCTTTTTAAGATTTTTTTTCTTTTAAGAATCAGAATCACCTTCACTGGCCAAGTACATGTGACATTCTGAATATGAATATCAATGACTTCAGACTCTATAAGCTCTAGTTGTCATAATGGCTCATAACAAAATGCAGGCTAATTGTAGCTATTTAAGTTTTCATTTTTTAACTTCTTTTGACACGGTTTAACAATTCTTTATTTTCGTCTCAATCTTTGGCAACAGAAACAACTTTTCCAACAAATGTTCTGAAACATTACTTATTCATAATGGTTTGTTAAAATGAGCTACACTTCAGTGGTAATGGTTGGCTGCTTACACAGTTTTTAATTGCTTTTTGGTAAATGACACTGTTCATTTTGAACATTATGCAAAACTACTGACAGAGGTCCACAGACCGAATACATAATCTTTTATTGGTGATGGAAATTTCTATTGCTTGCATCTAAATACAAAACAGCCAGCAAGATCATCGGTGCCCCTCTGCCTTCCCTCACAGACATTTTTAACACCCACCTCACCCGCAGAGCCATCAGCATTGCTGAGGACACCTCCCACCCCGCACACCCCCACCTCAGACTCCTGCCTTCAGGTAGAAGGTATTGGAGTCTTCAGGCCCACTCCACCAGACTTACAAACAGCTTTATCCTCCAGGCTGTGAGGATGCTGAATGCTGTCCATTACCTCCCCTGGACCGTAACCCACCACAGAACATAAAGACTACCTCTGCTGTTTTGCACAAACCCAGTACATTCCCCCTTCTTGTTGTATTACATGTAAATCTGCTGCTGACTGTTTTTACCGTCATATCTGCTGCTGTTGGTCATTTGCACTACTGTCCATGTGCATCTCAATCTCACAACCATCTGACATCTTATTATTGATACTACTGTCACTGACTGTACATGGTTTGAGTCATAGCCTATTAGGTTATACCACTGAGTTTTATCCTGATCACTTTGATTTAGTTTCCTTATTCTATTTTTACTCGACTTTTATTTTATTTTAGTTTCCTAAATGGTAATGGCATTCAATACTAGGTGAGAGAGAAACGGTATTTTGGTTTCTGTATGTCCTGCACATATAGTGAATTGACAATAAAAACCTTTGATCTTTAAATGGTGTCATTTGAACGCAAAATAACCAAAATAATGTTTTGACTTGGGTAATGTGACAAATATAAAATAAACACAGCTTCATCTTAAAGTGCCTCTTTAAATATAAATAATGTAAAGCACAATGGAAAAAAACAGACTAATCAAGCAGAACATAGTTTAGCTGAAGGAATGGTGGTGATAAAGAGAAACTGTGGCCCACCACCAAACTGGGCATTAACTTAAGCAGCTATTCTTAGAATGAATAAACATAATTTCGTGGTGACATCCACTGGATTAAGGTTCTTCATTCAATAAGAGATTTAAGTCCCAGCAAGGAGCACAGCCCATAGAGAATGGAGTTGTCACATGCTGCCTTGACACATTAAAATCCTTGTGACATCCTGCCACCCTCCAGTCAGTGAGCAGGGAGGAGAACAGCCTTTAAATACTGACATCATCACAGTATGCTGCTGCTAAAAAACAAACACAAAAAATGTAACAGAACATTTTCTGCTTACAACAAAAGAATTTTTGCTTCCTATAAGAAGAAGCTTTATTTTATTGTCATTGTAACATGTACAACGGAATTTTGTTTGGAGCCGAGGGGCCCCAGGCCGCTGCGTGCATGTGCACCGCCATCACAGACAACTGTGTCTTGCCCAAGGACACTTCAACATGTGGACTGCAGGCACAGAGATTCAAACCTTCAACCTTCTGGTTGGGAGACGACTGCTCTACCCACCGCACCACTGTCACTCCTATAAAACGCAAAACCCAGAGCATTTTCTCACCTGCATCTCTCATGTACTGTAGCTGCTGTTACACTAACTGACAAACAGCTGACCCTGATGTGCAAAGATAAATGGTGATACAGAAGCAAAACCTGGCAACTGGAGACACTCAGAAGGAAAATTAACCTCTTATCTCTCAGAAAAGCTTCTTGCTTTGATTACAATATTTCCATAAAAGAGAAACAAAATGAGAGTACATGCATCTATAAAAAAAACAAAAAAAACAAAGGGGTCAGGAGAGGAGGGCTGAGGTTGGGGCTCCAGTCACCCTTTAACTCTGCATAGACACATGCAGCTCTGTTTCTAACCCACCTGACCACTCCCTTTGTTTTCTTTATCTGACAACTTGGCAGGTGGCAGACACGAAGGAGGGCACCCAGCAGTGCAGCACCCAAAGCTATGTCAAGTTTGCTGCATCTCATCACGTACACAACTTAAATGACAGAAATAATGCTTTTCTAGTGATTATGATTTAGAGACCAAGAGGATGCTGCCAGTTGACTGTGTGATGGAAATTTCCAGATCCCTGCCCTCTGAGTTTGGAGGGTGTGAGCAACAGGTTGAAGTACATCAGCTCTATATCAGTGTCAAACCACACTCCCCTTGGGGCTGTGGCTGACAACTGAATGAAAAGACACCACACAAGCTCATACACATATACAAAGTGACAGTTTCAGTCACACCCACTGCTGTGAAGGATTGGGGCCTGTAAGCAGTTAATATGGTTGCAAAGCACTGTTTTGTTCCACAGCCTCTGGAGCTGCAGCTGGTAGTTTCGGCCCACAGATTCTGACAGACGTCCTTGATAGGAGTGATCCATCGCCTTCAGCAGCAGCATGAGAAACGGGGAACAATACAGAGAAAAGTGAGATAAGGTCTATCACTGTCAGCACACACACACAGCTTGGCATCTGCATGACAGAAAGCCGTGTCAATTCATCAGGCATTTGAAGAAGCTAGGCATTTTTCAAAATTGCTTAGAAAGGGGAGAAAATTGCATTGTTATAGAGTAAGAGAGCATTCAGCTGGAACAGTTTACCAGAGTGACTGTGCTCCCTGACAGGTAATCAAGTACAGTGTCTGATGTACTTGTTAAATCAGCGACAGACGTCTGAGGCCTTAGTCTGCATTTGTTTAACTTACAGTTCAGCCAGAGGCCACTTTCATTAAGCACTACGCAAAGAGGAAAAAGTGTCATTTGAGGATATCATCTTTTCCACTGGCAGAGAGTTGCTTGCTTAAAAACCTGTCTGGCTGGTGGTTCAGATGACAGATGACCTAAACACCATGAGTGAAATCCAAGGTTAAATCCAAATTCAGTCAACAGCCAGGAGCACACAAACGCAAGCTGACACTGATAGACCAAATAATAATAACCAATTAGTTGGGAAAATCATCTGTAAATTAATTAATAAGGAAGATAATTGTTAGCTGCAGTCCCCAAACCTCAAATTATTTTTATTAAAAGCCCTAGAAAGTTTGGTTCCATTATTTGGTATTTATCACTTCATTTACAACCTTCAGAGTTAAAGCTTTGATGACAACATCTGTAGGTATTACTCCGAGTTTTATACTTCAAAGTTAACCACAACTGTCATCACATTTCCAAACGCTACTAAATGTTGGTTGGTGAATGGACGTACATAAAGTAGAGGAATTTCACCTTTTTCTAGCTGAACTCACCCACTTTGGACGGACCCCATTTCTCACACTAAAAGGTTGATTGAGGAAAATATGCTTCCAGGGCCTTTAAGATCACAAATGATCATGACTAATTATAAACCAAGAACTCTTGCCACTATCCAAGAAAGAGCTACTTAGAGCAAACCCTGTGATTTAGGATTTCACAACAAAAAATAAATGTTCTACTACTAGCTGCTCATTGTGGAATAACAAAGAACCCTGCTAGCAAGCTTAATAAAACAGCTTACAGTGTTTATCAGTAGCCATCAGCTGTCACGTTAGTGATCCCTGGAGCACATGACAGAGTAGAAAAGATTTTATTGAGCTCAAAGTCTCTGCCATAGTGGGAGAGTACTCCATATTATCAGTGGCTTATATTAGGTGACTGCCGGTCTTTAGGGTAATGGCACCAGAGCAGAAGGAAACTGGCTTTCTTCTTCACAGCAATAAAAGCTGCTGATAAGAGAGACCATCATTACAGTCCAAGGAAAACTATGTTAAACTGTGTCTTGCCCAAGGACACTTCAACACGTGGACTGCAGGCACCCTTTGAGTGCACAAAAATACCAAGGAGTTGAAAAATAAAACTAATGATCTGCACCAAAATGTGCAATGTATGTTTTTTTTGGGGGGGGGGGGGGGATAAAAAGAATGTTATGTATATTTTTAGATCATCTATAAATGCTACGAATTTCCATTAAGTATCATTTAGGAACCAGCATCAAACATTTTGCAATGATACTCAGACCTAAAAGTGTGCATTGTACTGTGTGTCCATACAGTAGGAAGCCGCACTGCCTGACACAACACATCCTAGCGTGGGAGCTCTAGAATGAACAAGAGGAATTCAGGGTGTCAGCATGCTCCACCCTATAGACCCCCATCCCCCAGTCCACCTCTCTAACACACCCAAAACTGTGGGGTGTTGGTCCCCGGGGCCTCCAGTTCTCTCCAGTCCTGCTGATTGTAACCACTGCACCACCCACCCCCTCCACCTTTGTCAACATACAATGGGGAGCGAATCCCGTCTCCTGGCAACCAATCCCTTTGAGAAGGTTGCCGTGGTGCTTAAGAGAAGGCATGAGAGAGGCAGATGGACAGAGAAGGAGGTATAGCAAGGCAGAAAGAGATTCAGTGGGTGGAGACAGGAGGGAGAGTTGTGGAAATGGAAAAATAATATTTATCCACTGACAAGGACTTAACATGTTGAGGCATCTTTA